GTCACGACGGCGACACAGATGTCTCAAGTTGGTAAACGTCAACCAGGCCTTCTGTTTGCAAGTTGACAATTCATCTGCGATGCGTCCACCAGGTGAGATACAACTGCCCGAATAGCAAAATATGTCTACCTGGTCTATTGCTTCCCCAGTTACAGTGAGTCAGGGTGTTGGATCAACCCAGTCTTGTAGCAACATTTTGCACTTTGAAGGTGCAAAACATATACCGAACATGGTTATGCTGGCGCTCAAACTATCCAGGTAAGCGTGCGACATACCTAGATCTTCACTTAGCAGTACAATGTCATCTGCAAACTCCAGACCAGAGAGCCTGCCACCTGGGAGCAAATCGATTCCACTTCCCTCACACGACGATAGAGCTGTTTCAAAAATTAAATCTATCAAATCATTAAACAGAACTGAAGACAGAGTGCAAAAAATATTTATGCTTTAGGAAACTAAAACAATTAATACAGAAAAACCATAACAACATAGAGAATCGTATAACAAAACTATGGAAAAGCGCATATTTAAAGCGTAGTTCACTAATCCAGTAAACTCGGAACTGAAACGAATTGTAGCGAGGAGGATCCATGGTCGATCAAGTCGGGTGCACCAATTATGCAGCGGCTGGTTAGAGAAGACGAAATATAGTCCAGCAAATCTGATGATTGAAGCCTATTGGCCATTGCGTGTTATTGCACACGCAATATTTTCAGCATCCGCGGACAAATACGTTGCACCAGTTGAGATCGGTCGGATAAGTGAATGTCAGGGAATTTGAAAAATGTCTAGTGGTTTTGCATAAGCGTAATGTGGTCTTCTTCTCACCCGTTTTTCGAGCTGGAACACTTGTTGGAAAATGTTTCCAAACTGGGTAGTTATTTTACTTCTTGTTTGATTATCTCATCTCATAGTGCATGTTTTGCTATGCTGCTTAAGGAACGGATACATATTGATCCAGATAATATGAAATACTTTCTTTCACCATAATGTGTATTTCATGATAATCAATTGTGCTTAGTTACACAGTGCAAATAATGAACATTGTTCTATTGCTTGTAGCACAGCATAAGTGAGTCGCTATAGTTTCGCTCGCATTAGCATATGTTTTGATAAAACGAGACAGTTTCGCCCTGTTTTATTTGATCACAGATAGAATGGGAAATGTTTGATTTTGTATTTTCATAAGTTAATTGTGTATTCATCCTGCCGCTTCCAACTTGTAAAATGAGACGAAGCAGGTTATAAATTAATGATTTTGATAATATTTTGGATTCACAATCAGGGTAATGACTTTTCTGTGGTTGCTTTATACTGTTTACCATTTTTGGAATAACTTTATTGATTTTTATTCGTGACTGCCGTGCACGAAACCTTCCTATGCATTGTTAGCACTCAGTTCTCTGAACCCGAATTCCAAGAAGCATACCTTTCCAATTTTATCAGTTCGTGTTCATCCACGCTGATCGTTCCTCTTGTCCGTTCCATTTCAGGTGCATTCCTCGTGCCTTATTTGCTCATGCTATTGTTGCTCGGTTTGCCATTGTTCTTCCTCGAATTCGCATTCGGTCAGTTTGCCAGCTTGGGCCCCATATCCGTGTGGAATATTAGTCCTTTATTCAAGGGTAAGTTATGCACTCTTTAACTTGAACTGAACAAAATGTTGCGTTTCGTTCTCGTTAAGGATGTGTCACGTGGTATTCAACAACATTTCTCCCATTAACCTTTACTACTGCATCTATCCCAAAACCGGTGTCAATTGGTGTCGCTTTTTTAGGTCTCTTTTTGTCCCAGTGATGTAAAATACCTAGTCATTTGCAACTCAAAGGCAAAATTAATCATGTGGTGTTGTGTCAGGTTTCTGTAATAGCTTTTATGAATGAATGGGGCATTCCAAACCGGCACACGATAGATCTACTTTTTCAAAAATGATAACCATTTAATCATGTAAATCATTCGAATGGTTTAGAAAAAGTTATATTTCTTAAGCTGCTCTCGCATTCTTTATACAGACTAATACTCTGATTAGGTTGCCATTTTTGTTTCTGAGATTATTTTGGCAGTTATCTGTGCAATCAATTCACTACTTGGAAACAGTACCAATTTAGATAATTCAACAAACCTTAGGGTTTAGAGTTTATATCCCTTCTCAATATTTTTCATTGTCCCAGAATGATTTTAAACTGTTGAGATGGATAAGAATTCAGTTGTGATGTATGTTATAATTTCATAAGGTGGTGCTCGTTAGAGGATAGTTTTTTATTTCAGATTATACTTACGATGTAACTAATTTAACAGACACGTGTATAACAGAAATTCCATTTGAGACATATCATCGCAGTTTAAGGTTCACTGTTAGGGGTCGAGTGTATGCCGCCACAGTTCGGCCAGTTCTGTTGTACGGCGCAGAAACGTGGCCATAAGAAAGCTGGATAAAGGTAGACTGTCGGTGTTTGAACACCGCTGTCTAGGCAGCATTGCACGAATCTGGTGGGGCAGCCAGACGAGCAATGCTGAGGTTAGGCGCAGAGTTTTGGGTAACCGCAGTCACCCACTGGAACAAGTGGTCGACCTCCATAGATTACATTGGTTGGAGCATGTGTTACGTATGCCAACAGATAGGTTGGCACGTTGCGCGATGCTAGCCGAGGCAGGTAGTGGGTGGAACAAAGCCAAGAGTAATCAAAATAAGACCTGGCACGAGGGTTTGAAAACATAAACCAGGAGATGCGGTCACATAGGTCGCGTTAGGCTCCCTGGATGGGGACCTCGGGATGATCACAACCGGTGGTTAGAGACACTGGATGATATGGCTGAGTGACGTAAACAATAGCGTTTGTGGGTCTTCTCACTTTAATTGCGGCTATAGTTTATAGGAGTCCTCAGTTTTCTCTTCAACTCTATTTTAATCTCTACTGTCTTTCTCCTGCTGCTTCACCCAAATGGGCAGCCAAATTGCAGCAACCAAAACCGGCGCACGAACGTGCATGATCAATGGTTGTGCAAGTGAAAACCGAAACCGTATCGCGATTCTCGGCAGCACACCGGGTAATGAATACAGCAGTCGGTAGCAATGTGCGCTCGGTAGTCTTGTTAATTCTTGATCGTTGAAGGAAACCACTAACCGCACTATTTTGCATACCACTCACAGATGTGAGTAGCACCTCACAACAATGAGAACATCTATGCGGTTCACATGTAGCTATTATCCCTGTACCCCATACCATACAATGATCTCTGGCTGGTAATCCAGATGCACAATCATCTCGGGATGATCAAGTGAACACAATTATTTCGATGCATATGTTTTAGCCATCCCTTCATTTAATACGTACAGTGTTGTTCGTTGAATCCCTCATTGGGCAAACAACATGATTGAAAAGAACTTCTAAACAGGACTTCCAATTTTGACGGGTCAACCCTTTAGATGACTAGTGCCGCTATGAAAACATTTTAAACTGCAAATGTTTGCATGAAACTCCGCTCCGTTCGACTCCTGCATTTCGGATTTCATGCTGAACCGTTTGTTCTACAGTCTGTTTCATGAGCAGTTTCTTCTTCAGGACGTTTTCTTTACAGATTGGCGACTACCAACTGAGTTGGTTGAACAGTGACTTTATCTGATCCTTTAACCTTTGGGTTGGTTCATATTTCTCGTGATTATTGTACTATATCAGTTATTTAAGACATCACTTTGTTGGTCTAAGAAGATGAAAATTTGCATCTTAGTCACAGTGAACGCTATCGAAACCCATATTCATAACCCGGCTTATACTACGAAAACAATTGGTAGGATTAACAGCTTTTCCTCGGAGGTACTATCGTTTATTCCCTTTTCATAACTCGTACCTATTCATATGCGTAATAAACAAATAAGTTACCACATGCAATCACGGAACAGGCAAATGTTCTTTTGGAAGCATAGTTTCCCTCGACGAATGTTCTTTTCATTATAATGTAATCCTTTTACCACAGAGCCTTTTGATTTTCGATAGATGGGAGGTCTTTGAATTCAACTGTGCCCTTGCCAAATTAGACCAGGTTGACTACGCTATAGAGAATGTTCACGATAGTGCACCTGGCATGCAATTTTATATCAATTTTTTCAAATTCTAAAAGTCAGTCTGTTCTTCGGCTCCACAGTTTTGAAATAGGTCCCGTTCACTTCGCTGGATGGGAACCCCGAGATCATAGTAACCCGTGGTTAAAATCACTGAGTGATATGGCCGGGTATCGCAACCAGTGGCACTCGTGCATCTACTCATTATTCTTATTACCCCGGTCTGTATGAATTCTCTGTCTTCTCTTTTACTCTGCTCTCAACAATCCAATCTTCCGTTTGCGCTTTTATCCAAAATGGGCGGCCAAAACACGGCAACCAAAACCGCCACAAAACAATTCACAGTTAATGGTTGTAAAAATTGAAACTAAAAACTATTTTCAAATTGGTGTGTATTTTCGTGTGTAACGTCTAAATTGGATAGTTTGCACATTCCATGGGGAAACGCCATCAGCGGTTGAAAAACAAACATCGTGCAGGTTAATTGGTTGAGCTAAGGCGATATTCCTTCGACAGAATGACGATTCCTTCTGTATCGTCTAGTAACATTCACTGGCTTATGGAGAAAATCGATCGTGTCCATAATTTGATGCATCATAAACCATTCAAAATGATAGAGCCATTTTACTCCTGTACAGTTGAGTACCTCTATACATTTGGGATATCATTGAAGTTGACGATATTGACATTTTCCGAAGTGAACGGGGTCGGAGTTTTCGCCACGGAGGTGCAAAGTGAAGACTTTCGTCGACCAAAATTGTTATAAAAAATACTCAAGTGATATTTAATTTCCAAATTCGAAAATATGTTTGTACTTTCGGTCGTTACAATCCCCGCTTTCTCAGTGAGTTAAGGGGTTTACTTTCTGAGAAAACGAGGGCTGAGCAGATAGTTTCCAGATGCACAAAAAGTTTCGTTTGTCACAGAAAAATAGTCGTTACATTTCCTCACCACCAAAGGCAGCTCGCTAACGATCAACACTCTGCTATTGTTCTAAACCACATAGTAAATCATCGCCCTCCAATGACATCGACCGAGTTCCATTTTTACGGTCCGAGTATAGCGACAGTTGTGAGTTATGAGCTGTGCTCAGCTGTTGATATTTAGTTCTGTGAGTTGCAGTCATTGAACAGTATTTATTATAGGTTACATTTCATATTTTCCTTGCCTGGTCATCTGCACCTCTTATATGTACCGCGTATCCGAAAACGCCTACCTCAGCCCTCGTATGCATTGCCCCTGATACATCCGCCCCTAGTGTAACAGTTTGCTGATGCTCCAAGAAAGCATTTTGCCACTTGCATAGAACAGTCTTTGTCTATTGCAGCTGGTGACTTTTACTGTTATGACCCATTCCTCCTAACAATCCCAAATTTAGTGAAGGTTATAAATTATCTGACTATAACCATTGCTCAACAGGATGGCAAGTATGTGAGTAATTCTAATTTGTTTCATATTCTTGAAAGTTCTCGTGGTAACACTTCAAATCAATGTACAATTTTTCTTTGTCTCAATATTTACGCGAAAAGTAATCGACTTCACAAACCTTGGTCAAACTCGAGAATTTAATTTTATCTACTATAATTTTTCAGTTTGCCAACCTTCCTGTGAACGTCTTGCTGATTATTTTCATTTGTGCTATCACCACTCTTACTCAGCTGAAATTTATTTTCAAACTGATAGGGTTCCCTCTCTTCCACCTTAAGCGCAACAGCGTATAGGAGCTATTTGTTATCATTAGAGCCCAAGTAAAACGGACGAACAGAATACTCGTTGAAACTGTTTGGAGGAAATAACTTCCGTGCGATATGGTCTGCTTTACGGTAAGTGGCTCATGCGTCACCTCTTCTCCCACTATTGAAGAACTAAATCTTCGATTGGCTGCTGCTTCTACATCAAACTTACTCTCACTTCCCTTCCCAACCAATGATGAAACCAACCGTGTTTCTTCGGGAGAGGTTCTCCGAGTCTTGACTGGATGCAGGACCAACAAACCTGATGTTATCAATTTATTTATCCCCTTGTCCAGACAGTTTCCGTCCCCCCTCAGACAATTTGAATGAACGTCACCATTGATATGTCCCCCAATCCCTTGTACTACTCGTCAACACGTGTTTCGATGTTCTCTTCTGTCTCCCCATTGACCCCGCCATCTGGCATCCTTAAATAGTCCCCCCAAGCTTGTTGTACATAATCGAAGCATTCACAAATCTGATTCTGTTAAATGTACTACTGTTACTCTCACGCACACTGAAGGTGTTCCAAATTTCAACCCCTTTTTGCGCATACAATCGTACTTCACCCATCTCTTACTTAATCGCACGACAATTTTCGTTAACCCTAAGGAAAGTATCCCGCATTTTAATTGCTTTCTCTATTGTAACCAGGAATTTGCTTTTGTTTTGTTGACATATTCGTAAATTCGTAAAATTCGTAAAATTATAAATAATCCCCCCTCGGTTGCATGAAACGTCCGATGCCTTCAGGTAGATCACCGAAAGCTAATATGTTTGTTACTCAGTGTTTTTCCTGCAGACTCCATTAAACTGTCGTGTTTTTCTCTCTGCTTCAGTTACAGTGACAAGCTGTCGGTGTACCAGCGTAGCAGTTAATTTCTAGTTCAGCTTATATATATCCCGGTCAATCGAATATTGTGGTAGCTGCTTGCACTGACACTAACATAACTTGTCTTCCTTCAACTCTTTGTCGATCCCTCATTTTTCATTCAGGTATTGGTTATGCCATGGTCCTGGTCTCGTGGATTCTTGTCATCTATTACCAGATTGTGGTAGCGCATTGTGTCTACTTTCTGGTGGCTAGCTTTACCTCACATCTACCATGGACCAACTGTGGGAATTCGTGGAACAGTATATTCTGTTTTGACAACAGCAGTAAGTTTGTTTCTTCCTTTACTGCCCAGGACTCAACCTAACTCATTACCTAAAACGATGTGTTTAAGACTTTGTCCATCTGTTCACATCGAGTATGCCATTGGTACACCATACACCATGGGTAAACTATACAAAGATTTTGTCATCGCCGCCATCCTTAAATCATCAATGAAACCGTTTCCCGATTACAGCCATATAAAGTCGTTGCTAGCGAGACACACTTTGGAGTTTATCTTGCATTTGTTTACATCTTGGATACATAGCTCCTGTGTTATGTTCTATTCCTCATAGTGAATCACGGAGGCAGGTAGCATTATTGGAGTAGATGGTCACAATACCCAAGGAATTCAAAAGAATACAAACCATGCAACCAAAAATACTGCATTTATTTAACTCATCATAATAGAACTATCAATACTCAAACGTATTAGTGAGTTATTTGGAAGAAAGAAAACGATGATACCCATCATCGCCGGTTGTCGAGTAGTAACCATTACCTATCCATCGTAATCTGTGACTTCGGACGTCGCCTTCTTCAACTACATCTCTTATCACAGACTACGGAAGCTTACGGCCGACGGCGTACACCTTCTGGAATAGTTATTAGGCCTTCTGTATACCAGAAAAGAAGAATTAGCGAGTTTATTTTATTTAGCGAAACGTTCATAAAGTCAACAACGGAAGTCACACAAGTGGGCAGGCTTCTCCAGCGTCATGCACTCAAAAAAGTGAACGACGCTAATGAGCTAAATTAATATTATTTTTTGAAACTGTATTTGGTAAAGCACTATGAATTTTTTTAATCAATGATTAAGTGCACGATTTTATTTTGATGCTACTTTCGGACTCTCTGGTATGCGGGTAAACAAACGCAACACATGAACCAATTTTACAAGCATCTGTGAGCTAATAACCCGTTTTTCAATTTTCTATGTTCCTTGTATTCGCCCATGGATCCTAAGAGTTGTGAATTATGACTATGAGTGTAATGTTTTTGTTGTAAAATTGAGGCCATTTATGAACATTTTGTAGGCCTAATTACAACGGAATGCACATTCTAGAAGACGATGAGTGGACTTAGGCAGTGGCGTATGGCTCGTGTTTATCTTATGCTCCTATCACTTTGTATATGCATGTGCGTGTGTGGTTCACACTGATGTGGTATCAGGTAGTGTACCATTCAATCCATGATGCAGAAGTTTAGGTAGTGAAAACAATAAGCAGTGTAGGGTTTAATGAGATTTTGGCTTGTACATTCCACTTGGTTAAATTTTAAGCTGGCCTCCAGGAACGTTCTTGTAATCTTATCCGGGTATATCAACGATTAGATAGCACCAATCACTGCGCAGGCCCTGTCACTATGTGTCCGATCTATGTTAAACGGTGAAGTGGAGTGATAGTTTTGTGGAGAAGACTTCTAGAGTCTAACAGTCGTAAGTTGTTCCCACCAAACACCAGCAATTTCGTGCAGACTGCAATCATCACACTTTTCTAAGCGATGAACATCTTTAGCAATAGACTGACCAGGATTTGGGAAGCATACTTTAGTGATGTATAATCGAACTTTTAGTACTAGGCTTCTGACGTGTTTGTGCAAAAAGTGCTTCAAGCGACAGAATGTAATAAGAGCTTTCTTAACTCCTAAACATAGGAAAAGAAAAGACCATATT